GTGGGGTTTTCTCACAGCTGTGGGGTTTTCTCACAGCTGTGGGGTTTTCTTGCAGCAGTGGGGTTTTCTCACAGCAGTGGGGTTTTCTCGCAGTAATGGGGTTTTCTCGCAGTAATGGGGTTTTCTTGCAGCAGTGGGGTTTTCTCGCAGCTGTGGGGTTTTCTCGCAGTAATGGGGTTTTCTCACAGCTATGGGATTTTCTCACAGCAGTGGGGTTTTCTCGCAGTAATGGGGTTTTCTCTCAGTAATGGGATTTTCTCGCAGTAATGGGGTTTTCTCTCAGTAATGGGATTTTCTCGCAGCAGTACTGGGATGGTGACCACTGAAGGTGAACACCGACCCTTGGGGCTGTGTCAGGGTGAGGCACTGACCAAAGGGACACTGAGGCACTGGCCAAAGGGACACTGAGGCACTGACCAAAGGGCACTGACCATGAAGTCCATGGTGAGGAAGCTGTCGCAGCGTCCCCCCAGGCTGGGCTCTGGCAGCAGGCAGTTGATCCCGTAGGCGATGCCCCCGTCGAATTCCAGCTGCCTCTGCACCACCTTGCACCGTCCATCGTTGAGGAAAAGGGCTCCCTGCGAGGTGGAGTGGAGAGAGGGAGATGTGAGGAGCCCTGAGCCCTTCCTCCTGGGTTCCTGCTCTCTGTAGGAACACTCTTAGGGTCTGGAGGGCCATTCCCAGCTCTGGGCTTGGATTATTTTAAAGAAGGAGAGCTGGGGCCATTCATCCTGGATAAGAGAAGKYTGCAGGGAGACCCTAGAGCACCTTCCAGTCCCTAAGGGGGGATGTAAGAGAGTTGGAGAAGGATTTGTAACAAGAGTGTGTGATGACAAGAGGTAATGGCTTGGAATTGAAAGAAGGTGGGTTTAGATTGGATACTGGAAGAAAYTGGAGTTGGAAGAATTTCTTTACTGTGGAGCTGATGAGACTCTGGAACATGGATGCCCCACCCCTGGAAGTGTTCAAAASCAGGCTGGATGAGGCTCTGAGCAATCTGGTCTAGTGGAAGGTGTTCCTCCCACAACAGGGGGTTGGAACTAGGGCTGGCTGTAGGGGATCAAACCCTATAGAGTTTTGGGGCCTCTCTTCCTACAGCTGAATGCTACAACCCCATAGATGGGCAGGTGTGTGTCTTGAAGGAACATTTGAGGCTGCTTCCAACCCAAACCAACCTGTGATTCTGTGATATCTTTCTGTCCTGAAGAGGACAGGCTATGCCAGTCCTGTGCCCACAGGTTCACCTTACACATGTTTAGACTCAGATGCTCGCCAGATACCATCTGAGACATTTACAAAGAAAAATGTGACATTGTCCTGGTCTGTCAGGCTGCCTGCAAGCTTAACTCATGCATCTGAGTTTGCAAACAGATGCTGCATTGCTGGGGTTCAAAACCAGCCTGATCTGAGTGGTTTTGCACTGCATTTTATTGCAGAAGTTGAAGCGTGCCGGTGTTTTAGTTTCAAGGTAACTCTGAGCTGCTTGGAACAAAGAGGATTTTACAACAGAGCAAATGACTACTCCAAAAATTCCTGCCAAGCCTCTAGAGCCTGTTGGTGTGGTTGTTTGCGTGTTCTGGTGCCGAGCAATGAGGTTTTGGTGCCACTGCCCCTCCCTGGGGGCTGTGCAGAGGCTCCAGGAGCCGAGGGATGGGCACAGCCAACACTYACAAYGTCCCCGTTGTCCCCGCAGCTCACRCTGAGGTTGGAGCCCTGCAGGGTCTTCAGGGAGGTGGAGCTGGGGAGCTGGTAGGCCAACACCTGGGAGGGAGGGAGAAGAGGAGATGCTCATGCATGGGATGGAGAGTTTTGGCTGTGACAACACCCCCGAAATGCCAGCGCTCACCGCGGCGTCGCGGATGATGTGGAATTTGAGGTACTGCACCAGCTTGGCACTGTTGGACTTCCTGAAGAGGAAATCCTGCTGCTCCTGGGGCAGCCCACGGATGGCCGTGTCCGTGGGCCAGAAGAGCGTGACGGGTTTGTGGATGGGGTCGTTGATCAGCCCCAGCAGGTTGTTCTTCTGCAACACAGTAAAATTTGGGGTGGGGGATGGATAATGCTCTGCCCAAAGTGATGCTGACTCTGTGGGGTGAGTGGGCTGTAGGCTGCCTGGTCACAAACCTGCAAACACCTTGGTTTTAAAAACCTGATGTCTGAGTWGAGCTTGGTACACAGAAGACAGAGCTGAATGGGGAAGGGAGAGGTTTCTGTGGGTGTGCTCCATGTCCCCCCACATCTGTGGGACTGGGGCTGGGGGTGCCCTGCACTGTGACCCCTTTGGTTCTCCTGGACAAACCCCTGCCAGTGATGCCATGTGCTTTAGCCTTTAAATAAACTTTTTTTGCAGCTTTTGCCTGATGTCTCCTGTGTCTTGTCCTTACCTCGAGCAAAGTGCTGAACAGAACGTACCCGTGTTTGGCTGCAACCATCTTAAGACTTTCCTACAAAGAAAGAAAAGTGAGTAATTTATCTAAGAAATACGTTGTTTGGGTATTAAAAAGGAAGATAAAAACTTGCTTTCCCCTGTAAGTCACTTTTTGTTATAAAATCAAAGCTGCTGTAAAAGCCTCTTGTAGGAATCTTCTTATACTTTTCTTACTTTATCTGTGATTCCGATGCATTTTAAATAGGATATTTAATTTATTCAGCAGTGTCAGACAATGATTGTAAAAGATTTTTTTAGTATGACTTTTTTTTTTTTGCTGACTGATATTTGTATCTGACAGCAACAGTGGAYGAGCCCTGGGAATGGTAATAAGCTGCACATACCTTCTTGAGGGGGAAATCCTGCATGTGTGRTGGCACCAGAATCTGGTTTATGACATGGATCACACCATTTGTGCCAACAGCATCGCTGAGTATAATTTCAGCTTTGTTGTTCAAAACCACCGAGTTCTGGAAAGGCAGCAAAAACAATTTTTTGTGAAAACTTGTGGGAAAGTGAGGCTGATGCTGAATTGCTTTGATGTAAYGAGCCCAGACCACCTTTTCTTTGCAGAAAACAGTGTTTTCAGCTTTAATAAATTGTCCTTTTGATGCCTTAGGATTTTAGCTTCTATTGTAATCCTGTAATTCTTCAGTGTTTAACTCCAGACTCCACAGACAGTGCTGAGCTCCTGCTCTCCCATTTTCACACAAAACAATTCCTCTGCAGCCCCAAACTCAGGGACACCTCCCTGTGCCAGACCCCAAGAGATGGAAACAACAGAGAATTGAGGGAGCCAAGTTGGAGTGAATGACTGCATTGGCTGAGCTGGAATTGGAGGATTCAGCAAATCCCGATGTGCAAATGGACAAAAGTGAGAAAGGGTGAAAAACCCCTGAGCCATTGTCCATTGTGGGTGGCCTGGGACTGCCCTGAATGGACCTGAAGGCCCTGCAATAAACAGAACTGCTTTTTATTATCTCAATTTTGTCTGCCTCTGTTTTAGGTAAGCCAGATTTTAGGCATCACTTTGCTTTTCTAAGCAATTCTTCATGYTCATAAAGCTGGAGTCTGAGGATAAAATAGTTTGTGTCAAAGCAGAAGTYGTACAAGAAGTTGTAGCACTTCAGCTAAGCGCTGAACACTTCATCCAAGCAATCCTTATTTGAAAGTCATTTATTTATATTTGTGCATCAGAGGAGGAAAGGAAACCATTCAAGTTTTTCAAAAAGCTGAATGAGAGCAGAGTGTTTTACAGTTCTGTCTGTCGGTGCCGGGTTACCTGGGAGTAGCTGAGGTGGATCAGGTCCCCCTGCAGGGAGGTGACATTGGTGACAGCYGCCAGGTCCCTGTAGAGCAGGGTGGCACAGGCCACCATGTGGTACCGGAGCACTTGGGCCATCAGTCCCTTGGCCACCCAGTCCTTGACCTGCAGGGGAAGAGTGGGAGGTGAGAGGGAGCTGAGAAAGCTGCCAGGAGCTCTTGGCTCCAGATGATTCCCCCGGAGCCCCCGGCCCCATCACTCACCCGGGGATCGCTGTTCAGGATGTCCGTGCTGGGAACAAACAGGGTGAAAGGACCAGGGCCAGCGATGTCCCTGATAGACAAAGCCTGACAAATTCAAGGGGAAAAAGCAGCAGTGAGTTCGTGCATGACTGTCTGGTGGAGGGGAAGTGGTTCCTGCCATCGGTGSCACTCTTTGGGGTCCCTTCCCTGCAGCACAAAGGGCAGAGAAACTCCTCGTGTGGGTTTTCACTCCCAGCCCCCTCTGCTCACATGTTAAATAGAGGATTTCAGCTGATAACCATGTCTTTATCTCCTCTGCAATCACCTTTATCTCCTCTACAAAACCAACAGGAGAGGAGGGAATTAAATTAATTACCCTTAGGAGTATGAATGGACTGTTGTGGGCACTTTGCAATGATCACTGGCAGGTTAAGCTGAGAGCTCTCTTAAAGCCACCAGGGGGTCAGAATTGAAACTGGAATATCAGTTTTTGGGCTAGCAGGCCAAAATACAGGTCTGTGCTGCCCTGAGGCTTCTGGGGAACAGAGAATTGATGTTGCCAGTCTCCAAAAACCAGCGAGAGCTGTTTGTCTTTCAAGACCCAGAGCACCCTGGGATGTTCCAGAGAGGCARCTGAGAATGTTGCTGCTTGGAGATGCAGAAGGGGTAGCAAATGGGTGGTGTATTCTTGCTTCAGGCTTCATGAGAAGTGTGCTGGCAGATCTCAGATTGGGAACAGGTAAAAGCTTCAGTTTCGTGCCCAGTCTGGAGGCCTCACATTTYTCTGGGATCTTGATCATTAATAACGTTTCAATGACAGTCAATAGTTTAAATTCGAGCATCTCAAATATTAGTGACTGGTAATCCAAACCCAGTCCCAATTGAAGGGTGTTGGGACAAACCAGATTCCTGCTTCTCTCCCCTCTATGTACTTGGAGGAAAAAAAAAAAAGGAAAAGAACCCCTCCCCAAGAAAACCCCAACAAACCCCAACCACTCAACCTTTCCTTACCTCTAAGTGGAAATAAAACCTAGATGTGTTGGAGTTCCTGAGAAGTTCCTGCAATTAAAAACAAGGCTCTGTAACAGTTCTGCAAATGAACCTCTCAGAAGAGCAAGGGACCTTCTGGTTTGGAATAATATCTGTGCTGCTGATATTCTGCTCTTACCTTWCTCTGTAAAAAAGGCTTCTTTGGAACCTAAAACTCCCCAGTACTGCAGTCATAATGATTTTCTGTTAGAGTTTTTAATTTGTTTGCTTTGGCAGTTATCTTGCAGAATCCCATTCTTATTCCTGGTCTCTCAGATTGGGATAATTTCTAATTCCAGGGTACAAATTTGTCCAGGAAAGAAAAGGCTCCTTTCAACCACTGTGTTCAGTRATTATGCAAAGAAAAGAAGGAAGCAGCAAACACGGGAAGGAGTTTACCTGGAAGATGTTGCCTCGGCACTGAAACCCATCCCCAATGTAGTTGGGTTTGCAGGTGCAGGTCCTTTCTGTCAGCTCAGTGTCGTTRCAGATGGCAAATTCACTGCAGCCTCCGTTATTCTTGTAAGACCAAAATTTAACATCAATAATTCCCTCCTTGTCAGGTGTAAAAAATTATTCCAATTCACCGCTTCCCCCCACCCCTGCATTTATATAATTTAGAAAGGTTTTATCGAAAGATCCTTTCGAAAACACATTTTGCTGAAACTTTTGATGGCATGTGTTTTCTGGCCAACATGAAAAAGCATTTAGGGTTCATAAAAAATAACTTCCCTTTTATGCAGAGGTTGTAATTTTGATTCCCTCCTTATATGTTTGGTTTGTGATGCTGTAAGGATGTAAAATATTTGCATGCAAGTCCAGCTCTGCACCTTGGGGATGAGTCTTGGCYTCTCTGCCAGTGCAGCACTGACTCTAAAAGGAATTATTCACACTCTGTAAATCACTGTGATGGTGCCAAGAGCCTGAATTTRAGGAGGACCATGGCCCAGGAACAGGGATTTGTCTTGTCCTTGTGTCTCAAATATCTCCTGTTCACACCTGAGCCCGCTGCCAGTGCTACCACCTCAGCTTGCAAATGAGTTTTTATCGTGGGTTCTAGAACAAACCGGGAAAAATTGAGAAGCTCTCTAGATTTTCCTTCTTGTACTTGTTCCATGGTGTCCTTTGTGTTGCTGATCAKCTCAGGGATGCTTTCCCATGGGCTGTGAGAGGGAGCAGAAGCTCCTTTGGGATTACAGTGATAACTCAGAGAGGTG